GGAACATTTGATGTTTTTGCCTGTTGGCCACATTCATCTCCTGGGATCGTATCTGTACCCTGCCCTCCTTATTTACCATGGATCAAAGAAGGTCACTTATTCTGTTCTAGTTTAACACTTTTGTCGTATTATAGTTAAAAAGTTAGTTGTATCATTGCATCGTGTAGCATTATTTTCTGAACTAAAAATAAAATAATATATTATTAATTAATTTATTATTAATATATTAAATTATGTATACTAAGTTTTTTTCATGTTTTTAAAAGAAGTCTCTTCTGCTCACCAAGGCTGCATTTATTTGATACAGTAAAACAGTAATATTTTGAATTATTATTATTAACATATAAAATACCTGTTTTTGTATTGTAATATATTTTAAAATGTAGATCTGTGATGGCAAAGCTAAAGCACCAAGTCAGCATATTAGGATGATTTCTGAAGGATCACAAGACACTGAAGACTGGAGTAGTGATGCTGAAAATTGAGCTTTGATAACAGAAATAAACTACATTTTACAATTTATTCACAATTTTAAATTGTAATAATATTTCACTGTTTTTACTGTACCAAATAAATGCAGTCTTGGTGAGCAGAAGAGACTTCATTCAAAAACATAAAAAAATCCTAATGATTCCAAATGTTTGACTGATAATGTATAATTTTCTAATTAAACACTTTAAACATAAGAAATTTATGGTGGTCATTATCAGGTGCTACTGGAAACGTGTACAAGGAATGCACGGCCAACGGAACCTGGAAACCTGAGGAGAATTCCAGCAGCCTATGGAGAAATCATTCAGAGTGTGAAAACCATTCTTTTTTCAAGTCCGAGGTGAATATTGCTACCATACAACTATGATTTTCGTCACAGAATGATTTTTACAATAGTATCCTGCATACACAGGAAGAAGAAGTGTTTCGGCAGTCTGTGCTGAGAGTCTTGTCCATTGTAGGATACTCGCTGTCATTTTCCTCTCTTTGCTTGGCTGTTCTGATCATGAGTCTTCTGAGGTGAGCGGTGTTCTGCAGGGCTTGGTGTTTGGTCCCCTTATGTTTCTTAGTGTAACTTTAAGATAGCTTGCAATAATGGTTTCCTTCACTATTTCTCATAACACTTTAATCATAATCTCACTGGTTAATGCTGGATTCTGTGCCATTAGTCATACAGATGATGACAAACCATTGAATAATTTGGAATGTAGACATTCTATCCTGTTCACTATGTTGACATTTAGCCAATGTTCTCTGTCACTGTACTTACATAATTAGATTTATTTTTGTACTTACATTTCCAAGCTTTGTTTTCATTAATCAAATAGATTCCATTCTGTCCTGTCCGGTCATTTATTCTGTTCCAGCCCAGAGCTGGCTCCAGATACCTGATATCCTAATTTTATTTGTCCCTGACCAAGAAATAAATGATTTTTACCTGTTGTTTTCAGGAAGCTTCACTGTACGAGGAACTACATCCACATGAATCTCTTTGCATCATTCATATTTAGAGCAATAGCAGTAATTATTAAAGAGGTTATATTTAAAGTCATGTATACCAACCTGCCCAGGGATGAGATCGGTTGGAACAGCTACACAAAATCTACGGTACAGAAACATTTGTTTATGTGTCTGTTTTTTAGTTGTGTGGAATTATTTCAAGGAATTACATCTGAGCAAGTCTACAAAACTTACGGAATGTTATTTCAAAAAACAAAAAAGACAAGACAAATGCAGTAATATACTGTAAATGTCAACCTTCCAGATGTTATTCGTCTGCAAGGCCTCAAAGGTGTCGCTGGAATATTTTGTTGGGTGTAATTACTTCTGGCTGTTAGTGGAGGCGATATTCCTGCACACGCTGCTGTTCACTGCAGTTCTGACCAGGAAAAGACTTCTTAAGAAATATATGATTATAGGATGGGGTGAGGCTTGTTTTTACTACAGAAAAACGCTCTTTCCTTTTTATTTTCTTTAAAAATGTCATACATTTAAATATGACTTATTCATTCTCCGGCTTTATCCAATGAACTCATTCAGGTACTCCATTACTGTTTGTGATTCCCTGGACTGTTGCCAAAACTTTGTATGAAAATAAAAGGTATGTGCCTGTTTTACTTCTTATTGACACTTTAAAAAGATGTTTTGAATGTAATACAGAAAATAATTTGGTATTTTATGGTGGAATAAATGTTCTTGGTAATGATATGCACTGAAAAAATGGTGTAGGATTAACTTTGAAACTATTTGCACTCAGAAATTAATATTAAATTTCACAAATAATTACTTAGAAACACTTTGAATTAAACTGTTGAAAGACTGAAATTGCATTTTCTTGTTAAATGTACTCCAGTCATCTTCAAAAAAGTTCTCATGTACAGTATATAAAACTAAACATAACTGTTTATGTTATATAATGACATTATATTTCTTAATAAATAATTGTAACTATAGTTAAAATAAATTCGGTAAAACTTAAATCATTTATATATAATGCATTATAAATAATAATATGTTTCCTTTTTCTAAAGCTGTTGGTTACATAACATCAGATGGATCTGGTGGATAATTAGAGGCCCAATAACATTATCAGTGATTGTGAGTATAATGCCTTATGAATTTCATTTAAAATGGCTTGTTTTTCTTTTGTAGTTGTTTTCTTTTGATGCCATATTTAATATGAAGACTGTGGAAGGAGAAAAGCAGGGTTAGTTGGTTTACATCTGTTCTGCTGTCATGCTGTAATGCTGATTTCACTGTAGTTGAAGTCGTTCCTCGTGTGTCACGTCTCATGCTGGTCACAAGCTCATGGGAACGAGCCGGAAAACATGACAGTTACAACGGATCAAACCGGTCGTTCTGCATCACCGCTGGTTCTGTACAAGCAATGTTCAAAATGTGTTTGAACCCTTTATTATTCAGAGGCAGATCATCATAATAAATGTACATGTAATATCATAAATTATTTGGTAATAAATTGTGTGTATTTAATGGGGTCATCGGATGCCCATTTTCCACAGTTTGATATGATTCTTTAGGGTCTTAATGAAAAGTCTATAACATACTTTGGTTAAAATTTCTCAATGGTAGTGTAAAACAACACCCTTTGTACCCTGTCAAAAACAGCTTCGTTCACAGCAAGCCGTTTTAGTGCATGTTCCTTTAAATGCAAATGAGCTCTGCTGACCCCGCCCCTCTCTTCCGAGCCGCTGTCTGAGAGACTGTAAACTTTAGCCGCATTCATTGTGAAACTTGCTAACTAGCGCATTATTAGGAAAGGCGATTTGCAAAGATTCATATAAAAACCTTCACAAAAACTCACTTCTTCTGTAGGTGAAGCTGGATCACGAATGATTCGCGTGAACATAGACGTATTTAGGCAGATCGGGGGCGCATTCACCTTCAGAAACAAAAGTAATCCTCTGCGTCTTCAGCGGCTCAGATGTCGGGAGTAAATGACGAGCACACGCTGCTGTTCACTGCAGTTCTGACCAGGAAAAGACTTCTTAAGAAATATATGATTATAGGATGGGGTGAGGCTTGTTTTTACTACAGAAAAACGCTCTTTCCTTTTTATTTTCTTTAAAAATGTCATACATTTAAATATGACTTATTCATTCTCCGGCTTTATCCAATGAACTCATTCAGGTACTCCATTACTGTTTGTGATTCCCTGGACTGTTGCCAAAACTTTGTATGAAAATAAAAGGTATGTGCCTGTTTTACTTCTTATTGACACTTTAAAAAGATGTTTTGAATGTAATACAGAAAATAATTTGGTATTTTATGGTGGAATAAATGTTCTTGGTAATGATATGCACTGAAAAAATGGTGTAGGATTAACTTTGAAACTATTTGCACTCAGAAATTAATATTAAATTTCACAAATAATTACTTAGAAACACTTTGAATTAAACTGTTGAAAGACTGAAATTGCATTTTCTTGTTAAATGTACTCCAGTCATCTTCAAAAAAGTTCTCATGTACAGTATATAAAACTAAACATAACTGTTTATGTTATATAATGACATTATATTTCTTAATAAATAATTGTAACTATAGTTAAAATAAATTCGGTAAAACTTAAATCATTTATATATAATGCATTATAAATAATAATATGTTTCCTTTTTCTAAAGCTGTTGGTTACATAACATCAGATGGATCTGGTGGATAATTAGAGGCCCAATAACATTATCAGTGATTGTGAGTATAATGCCTTATGAATTTCATTTAAAATGGCTTGTTTTTCTTTTGTAGTTGTTTTCTTTTGATGCCATATTTAATATGAAGACTGTGGAAGGAGAAAAGCAGGGTTAGTTGGTTTACATCTGTTCTGCTGTCATGCTGTAATGCTGATTTCACTGTAGTTGAAGTCGTTCCTCGTGTGTCACGTCTCATGCTGGTCACAAGCTCATGGGAACGAGCCGGAAAACATGACAGTTACAACGGATCAAACCGGTCGTTCTGCATCACCGCTGGTTCTGTACAAGCAATGTTCAAAATGTGTTTGAACCCTTTATTATTCAGAGGCAGATCATCATAATAAATGTACATGTAATATCATAAATTATTTGGTAATAAATTGTGTGTATTTAATGGGGTCATCGGATGCCCATTTTCCACAGTTTGATATGATTCTTTAGGGTCTTAATGAAAAGTCTATAACATACTTTGGTTAAAATTTCTCAATGGTAGTGTAAAACAACACCCTTTGTACCCTGTCAAAAACAGCTTCGTTCACAGCAAGCCGTTTTAGTGCATGTTCCTTTAAATGCAAATGAGCTCTGCTGACCCCGCCCCTCTCTTCCGAGCCGCTGTCTGAGAGACTGTAAACTTTAGCCGCATTCATTGTGAAACTTGCTAACTAGCGCATTATTAGGAAAGGCGATTTGCAAAGATTCATATAAAAACCTTCACAAAAACTCACTTCTTCTGTAGGTGAAGCTGGATCACGAATGATTCGCGTGAACATAGACGTATTTAGGCAGATCGGGGGCGCATTCACCTTCAGAAACAAAAGTAATCCTCTGCGTCTTCAGCGGCTCAGATGTCGGGAGTAAATGACGACTGCTATGTTCAATATTACATCTAACAAAAGAACACCTCAATCGCTTAATCGGTGACATTCTTGTCTTCCCCTGCACCGGAGTCGATACAATGGCGGACTGATGACAGCTCACTCAGGGAGGAACTGTGATAAAACCAAAGACTGACGCCACTGTCAATCAACAATCGTGGGAGGGGCCTGTGCAGAACTACATCATTCTGCCAAGAATCTAAGATCGGCTCGATATGAGAAAGGGGTTTGGATTTATAGAGATTTTTAAAAAAAAGCACTGGGTGGATTTTTAGCATTATAGGGTGGTTGTGTACACATTTCAGTTCAAACAACATGTAAAAGTGAATTTTGCATCCGATGACCCCTTTAATGCAATTTAGAGTATTAAATAATAACAACTGAATAGTTGCTTGATAAACATGCATCAAAATTCAGTAAAATTAAATACATTTTGATGAAACATAGGGTATTAAAACTAATAAAATCAAAACTTCATTAACACCCAATCATGCTAAAAAAAAATTGGTGGATTGTCAGTTAATAAACGTGAAGTGAAATTAAATAAATTTTGATTAAATATAGAGTAATAAAAAAAAATCAGTACTTAATTATCACTCAGTCCTGCTCAAAAAAAGATACTTATAAGGAAATGTGAATCAAACACAAGTAAAATGTTGATATAATCATACACTCACTTGTCTTTCAGGTCATTTTTTGCATTTTTCTTAAAATCATCCGACTTTTGCTGTCCAAGTTAAAGGCTGACCAGGTGAAGTTCACTGACTACAGATACAGGTTAGTCACTGCTTATCTGAAATATGTTTGTCCATATAAAACTGATGGTGACAAGACTCATTTCATGTGATTTGCATCCTTTTCTCAGTCTAGCCAGAGCAACGCTTGTGTTGATTCCTCTGCTCGGGGTCCATGAAATCGTCTTTACCTTAATTATAGACGAATCAGTTGAGGGAAGCAGCCGCTACGCTCGAAACTTCGTCAATCTGACCCTGAGCTCTTTCCAGGTGACTGCTTGTTTTTTCTTTCTGATTAGAATACTGAAAAAAATTTGATTTATTCAGAAATTGCTTTTAAATTTCACCAGTGATTACAGAGAAAAGGCAAGTAATTCACTGAATTATGTGTTTGAAAAAACATTTGAAAAAATGAAATAGTTTTTTTTTTATTTAAAACTGTTAACCCTTGTAACATGTACACTGTTTTTGCGTACAAGAATCATTATTTTATTAAACAGTCGTAACTTAATATTTTTCGTCTTAAACCATATTATATCTGATCAGCAACTTCTCATTAATGAGTGAATGTGAAAAAGAAAATTGAAGGTTTTGCATGTTATTATTGCATGTACCCCTTTTTATTAATTAAAAATAAGTGAAATTCTTTGAAATTACACCTTAACCACACCAAAAAAATATAATGCAATATATATTTATATTTTTTTCAGTATTGATGAGACATTTTATTTGAATATATCATTGTATGAAATTTATAAGAACATATAATCTGAGAATTACCGGTATTAACCCCATTGGAATGAATTAAATTTAATAAAATTCCTTTGAATTTATAACTCATGATTGCTCAAAAACAGTACAAATGTATGAAACTAACATGGTTATTTCTTACAAAACAACATTAAAACAAATATTACTCTGAAACTTTGTCAAAATAAATGTATTTTATTTGCATAAACTTAAAAAAAAAAAGGAATTAATTTTTCATGTTGCAATGGTTCGTCAGTAGATGTACATATTCATGTTTATCATCAAAATTTAGTACCAAAAGTGTGTGAGATATGGGGAAAAGGCAAAATATATTTCAAAACATATAACTTCACTGATCATTTTAGAAAAAGTATTTTTGAGACCTAATAGTGCTTCACATATACCCAGGTTAAAATGACCCGAACATGAAACATGTAACTTTTTTATTTCATTAGTGGTTATGTCTTTTAAAAAATTAAAAATAATTGTAAAAATCTGGAAAAAAATTGGTGTATTTTGAGGATCTTAAAGCACTTGCAAATTTTCGTTCCCTTACTAAAAAGGTTAAGTGTGAGAATATCTTTGACCATAGACCTAACTTTGGAAACGTGTCCTCCAGGTCCAGGCTGAGCTGAAGAAGAGGTGGCAGCTGTTCATTTCCTCCAATCACTTTGAGGTGCACAACTGCTTTGCTGACATTCACCCCAAACACCTGTGGAAGTGCTCACAAAAGAGACCCGGACAAACCACAGAACAGAGCGAATCCAATGAGGAGGGAAGCCACGCCCCCACACAGGGACATCCGCTGCAGGTGGCCGTCCAATCAGCAGAGGACGTGCCGTGTGGGCGGAGCTCCGAGTTTTACATGAGGAAGAGCCTCTCCAGCAGCGACGGGGAAATGACTTTAGGAGAGACGATGGAGGAGATCATAGAGGAGAGTGAGTTTTAACATCTGTCATCGGCCCCCCTTTCAGAATAACTTTTCTATAAATATGTAATTAAGGATGTATATATATATATATATACTTTAACCACTGTAAATGGCTTCCATGATGTTTTTGATACCTGATTTTTGTATGTGTATATAATGCAAGGTGTTTGGATGGAACTCCACAATCCAAGCTTTGAAATTCTCTACAAATTAATTTTGTTGGTCAAATTAAACATTTAAACATTAGTTTATTGAACACTAGTTCATTGAACAACAAGAGTAGAGAAAACATGGAAGGACTGTGATTGAAAACAGCCCAGGGATTATGATGCTCTAATACGATATATAACCTGCTTCATTATCTTGATCAAATGTTTTCAACTGGTTTTGATTCACAACTAAGATTTTACATTGGACATTATAGGTGGTGACTCAATACAGAACCAAAACTAATGTATAAATGCCACAGAAATGTCTTGAAATTCATTAAAGGGGTCATATGATGCGATTTCAAGTTTTCCTTTCTCTTTGGTGTGTTACAAGCTGTTTGTGAATAGATAAGATCTCTAAAGTTGCAAAGACTAAAGTCTCAAACCCAAAGAGATATTCTTTATAAAAGTTAAGACTGGTCCACGCCCTCCTAAAACGCCTCGTTTAAACGCCCCCACATGTCTACGTCACTGTGTGGGAAGATTTCCATAACACCGCCCAAATGTTTACGCAAAGAAAGAAGGCGTAACTTTGATTCTCGCTGTAGTATTATTGCTGCCGCCATGTCGTGAAGGCGCTGTGTGTTTGGTTGTGAAAGCAAAACTACTTTGTTTGGCCTTCCAAAAGAGGACACAACTAGAAATCAGTGGTTAAG